AGGCCTGGGGAGGGCGGGACGGGGGGCGCCGGGCCTGGGGAGGGTGGGCAAGGAACACCCAGCGCGGGGAGGGCGGAGGTGGCCTAGGGCCCGGGCAAAGGGCAGCCCAAGGGCTGGGGCTGCTGTGACATTTCCCCAGGCTGGGTGTCCGTGCCTGCTACCCTCCAGGACCGTGAGCGCAGGCTGGGTCAGGCACAGGGCTCGGAATAACAGTAACACAGTGGTGAAGCCTTTACCCTGAGCTGTCCTGTTTCAAGAGCTTCACATTCACAAGCTCCCTTACTTCTCACAGGAATCCATGAACTATCTCTTTTTTTTTTGAAGAGAGAGGATCTCACTCTGTTGTTCAGGTTGGAGTGCATAGGTGTGATCATGGTTTGCTACAGCCTTGAACTCCAGAACTCAAGTGATCCTCTCGCCTCAGCCTCCCCAGTAGCTGGGACTACAGACACAGGCCACCATGCCTGGTCTCAAACTTCTGACCTCAAGCAATCCTCCTGCCTCGTACTCCCAAAGTGCTGGAATTGCAGGTGGGATCCACCGAGCCCAGCCTATGAACTATCTTTTATTCCCATTCCTCAGACGAAGAAAGAAAAACTGAGAGGCGAAGCCCCTTGCCCAGAGTCACACAGCTAGTAACCAGTGGGACAGCAGTTCACATCCAGCAGGTTGGCCCCAGGGCCCATGCACACCATCTACGCTATACACCTCATGTGGTTAGTACGTTTCCACAGAGGAACAGATAGAAGAGGGAAGAGGGAGTCTCAGCACTCATGCCACCTCCTCCACGAAGCCCCCACGAAGCCTATCTGGACTCCTCCAGGCAGACCAGACTGCAATCTGACAGTACAAGTGTCATAGATGTGTCCCTGTCACTGTCCTGTGCCGGTCTGGGAAGTCCCCAAGAGCAGGAACACAGCTGGATGGAGTCAGATCTGCCTTCTCAGGTCAGCATGGGGTCTGGCCATAGGCAGCGTGAAGACAGGACTCATGCAGGCCTGTGGGCCCCAGAAGTCTCCTGCAAACCCAGCCACCTCTGTCTCCCAGCTCCTGCCGGAGAAAACATCCCAGATTCCAAACCTAGCTCAAATCTCTCCATCCACTGGAACTCGCCTTGAACTTGCGCTTTGGATAAGATGAGGCTCAGACACACTCTTGCCTCAGAAATGAAATATGTTTCAGAAGCCTCAGAAGGCCTGCATGAGTAGGACAGAGATGCTCTCATTAATTGCTGAAAAGCAAACCCCGTTAATCACAGACTCCTCGAGTTTTTTGCACCAGGGAGGGTTTCCTTGCCAGCCGTTCTGCACTGATGGTGTCTGACTAATTAAATGATGTTCTGTTCATTAATAAAACAAGCATTTATTGGGCACATACGAGGCAAGCTCTCAGGCCCTGACCACTGAGAAAGACCCGGCATGGTCGAGGCCCTCAAAGCTCCTCTTTCAGCCCTGCACAGCCCGGGTCTGGCAGTATTTCTGGTTTTTTCTTTATTTTTGGTTTTTTTATTTCCCCAACGGGGCTGCACTGTTCCTGGAGGTACCACAAGAGCCGGTCGCCGCGGGAGAGGACAGAGCAAGCTCCTACTCCATCTCCCTGCTCTAGAAATCCACTTGATACGTTGTCCTTGGATGGTAAAAGCATCAGACACAAAACTGGTAAGAACGATCCGACACTTGCTCTCAGCCAAAGGCCCAGAACTGTTGGCAGCATCTCAGCCAGGGCAGCCCTTCCTGTCCCGCCTGCCTCTCCCTCCAACCCATTCTCCTTTCAGCTTCTAAAAGGCAGCTCTGGTTGAGGCCATCCTTGGCCAGAACCTTCCTGGGACGTCCACTGCCTGCAGGATAAAGCCTGAGTTCACTGCCCTGGCGCGGAAGACCTGCCGTGACCTGGCCCCCAGACCCTCCTCCTGGACTGATCTTCCAACCCCAGACTCCAGCCCCACAAGAACGGACCCGTGAGTTGCCTTTGCTTATTCTGTTCCCTCTGTAGAGAAGACTCTCTGTCTTTGCCTGGTAGATGCCTCCTCCCCACCCCTCAAAGCCCAGTTCATGGGTCACCTCTCCTGAGAAGCCTTCCCTGATGCCTCCTCACTCGGCGTGGGGCAGAGCCTGATGGGAAGAGGCTGAAGTTTCATTTTCACAGCACTTTACATGGATCCGAGGAAATGGCAAGTGTCCGTGTGACAACATGGGCATCAGCTAATAGATTTAGAGGGGTAAGCACCACCTCACGGAAGAGACTTCACTGAAGAGACCATGCCACTTTCTCTTTGCAACTAGGCTGCTGGGAAGCTCATACCAAATGCAACATGGAACTTGACACGTGCTTGTCCTTTAAAAGTGCTGATGTAGTCTAACTACCATCACGTGTCCTCCACTGGAGGCTGGGAGGTCTTGAGCGTCTCCTGTGCCCTGTGCCAGCTCGTGTTGGTTTCTGGAGTCATGACAGGACACTCAGGGGCCAGAGCATGGGGGAGGGGTCAGGAGGCCAGGGGGGTGGGGCACACATTGCCAGCCCCATCCTTAGCCAACTCTCATATGGCACATCCTATGAGCCAGGCCCTCTCAGTGCTTGATAAGTTCTAACTAAGCCTCACCACAGCCCTCTGAAATAAGCACTTACGGCAGTGACGTTTCATCATCATCCTCATCTCACAGGTGAGGAAGCTGAGGCAGAAGTTAGATCACATGCCCAGGGTCCAGGTTTGACCCCAAGCAGGATGGCCCGAGTCTGGGCTCCAATCCCCTTCCTGTCTGCACAGCTTCCAGCCCAGCATTACCCCGTCTCCCACGTGACCAGTCCTCTGAAGGGATTTAACGTTAGGAAAAACCACCATCTCTTTGAATGAACGCCCTTCCTTTCTCCGAAATCCAGACCTGAAGAGACCACATCACTTTCTCTTTGCAACTAGGCTGCTGGGAAGCTCATACCAAACGCAGGAACAGAACTCACTGGCATCCTTAGCCCAGGTCCCTGAGAGAATTAGCTTTGCTTCTGCCTTCCCCGGGCGGTTACTCTTGTATCCTCATGTCTAGTGTGTTGTCTCTGTGCCTTGTATTCTAAGATGCCTAAAAGTCCTTAAGAGTCGATGAGTCACAATGAGTAAATGAATGCGCACGAGGCTCCGCACAGGTAGAGGCCGCCCTGAGTGGAGGCACAAGGAGAGCCTCCAGCGTCAGGACGGCGGGGAAGGGAGCGACTGGGACTGCAGAACTTCCAGGAAGTCGAAAAATGTACCCTCTCTGGCCCTGCCTCACCTCCCCTTCCACTGACCAGGAGGCATGGGGAGACTCCTCTCACATCTTGGGGGGCCCCCACCTCCGTCAGGTCTCAGGTTGCCCCTCCTGGAACACCATATCCGAACCCCTCCACCCACACTGCCCCTTCCTTCTGCCAAGCCGCCCTTGGAGGCCAGGCTCAAAGGTCCCCTTCCCTGGGCACCTTCCCTGACTTACCCAAGCACTGTCCAGAGCCCTCCTCTCTCTCTCTGCTGGAGGCCCCACATTGCCCTGAGGTATTGCTCTCCCCCCACATTCCTGGAGGCTCCCAAGGCCATCATGTGGGTCCTCAGTGCCCGCCAGGGCTAGAGACACAACAGGTGTTGGCGACCCCTTGGTGAAGCCAGAAGGACTCAAACTGCTTCCCCGGGAACGGCATTCTGCCCTGGCTTGGGGCAGGTCTGAGAAGGGAAAGCAGGGCCTGCACCCCCTAGGGCCCTGCCTGACACCAATGACACCCAGGAGGGGCTACCGGAAAGAGAGGCTCTTACCTGGGGCAAAGCTTGCACCACCGTGTCCAGCAGGGCCCTCATGCCCGTGGCCATTTTCAACAGCTTCAGCACTGCGGGGAGACCCAGGCCCAGCCCGTTCAGCCCCGGTTCGTGGGGAGGTCAGTGGGGACGTGCATGTGAATGTGTGTAAATTTGAAAGAGGAGAATAAGCAGAGACCACTCTCAGATGCCACTCAACAAGAACATGGATGTAGCTACAGGGTGGGGGGGGCTGTGTGCACAGAAGCACATAGACACAAGGTGTGGACGTCAGTGCAAAAAAGCGCACGAGAACAAACACACTCCCAAAGCGCATGCATGAGTGCACCATGAACCGTGGCAGGCACAGGCGACCAACGTGAGTGGCCATAGCTCTCCCGTCCCTGCTCGCTGAAGAGGACTCTGGTGCTCCTGCTGGGTTTCTGCAACCCCCTTCCCACCTGGAACCTGGGAGCACCCAGCAGGAAGTGTTTGACATGAGTGTAGGAACAATCCTGGGGGAGAGGGAGGTCTGGGAGAAGAACTGGCATTTTAAGAAGGGCCGAGGTTGGCACATCCCACTTTAGGGTTTGAGGGGAGCCAGCTGGGAACTGGAGGTGTATCACAGCATCCTTGCAGGGGATGGGGTTCCCTTAGCACGCTCTGAGACTGGACCCCACGGGTCCAGTGCTCCAAGCTAGCAGGCAGGTGCCCGTGTGGTGTGCAGCTGTCTGTGAGTGAGGCGGTGGGTATGATTGTGATGGGGAGGCCGTGTACACAGTGTGTACGTGTGTCAGCTGTGTGCTCCTCCCGACTCCTACTCACCCTGCTCAGATCGGAGCCTGCCGTGCCCACGCACCCCTGCCCTCTCTCCCCACCCCACCCCCTGCCTGTCCCTGCTCCCTGTCCCACTCATGCCCCTCACCCCGGGCGATGCGCAGAACCCGCATGATGCGGATGATGGTAGGGTTGATGGGCAGGGCCGCGTTGATCTCGATCTCCTCCAGCGTGATGCCCATGACCGACAGCAGCACGATGGCCAGGTCCAGCTGGTTCCACCTGCTCAGCAGGCATAGGGGCAGGAGTGGGAACCGAGAGGAGGAGCCCTCCGTTCAGACACACCTTAGCTGGGGGAGCCTCCCAGGTGCTCATCCTACTATCGTGGCCCACTGGGCTATGTGGCCACCCTCCCCAACAACCCCTCCAAATGCCACGGGGTCTAGCCCCCTCTCTGGCCCCCACAGTCATTGCTCCCTCAAGCAAGGGGCTAATGAGGCTAAGTAAATCTCTCCGGTCTCCTGCTGGGGAGGAAGAATGGGCTCTGACTTCTAGGTCTAAACCCTGAGCTAGCTGCTACCTCTGCATGGTTTAAGGTTAGTCCATCAACCTCTCTGAGCCCCACTTGTTCCCTCTAAAAAGGAAAATTAGCATGAGGCAGACCCTGTTCTGCCTGAGGGGTAGGGAGGACCCATCACAGATGAGCCAAGAAGAGCCTGGTAGAATGTCCTGCACCCACCAGATGAAACCATAATCACTTCCTGTTCAGGACTATAAGAAATACCTGGGGGCTACTGGCCAGTGATGCCCATATGCTCACTGGTTTCCCTCCTAAGACTGCTCCAGGCTTTCCCAGGGGTCAGGACTGCTACCCCATCCTGCAGTCCACACTATGCTGCCCTAGCCCAACCCAGCCACTCACCGGTCCTTGAAGAAGCGCCTCAGACCAAACGCCACCAGCTTCAGCACGGCCTCCAGCACAAAGACAGTGGTGAACATATAGTTGCAGTACTTGAGGGCTGTCTCCAGGGACTATAGGGGACAAGGAGAAGCATGATCCAGGCTCCATGACCTGGCCCCCAACCTTCTTCCAGTCAGAAAGTCTCCGCCTTTTAAGGAGAGAATTTAGTCCATTCATATTTACTGCAATGATTTATGCTGCTTTTATTCCTTCCATCTTACTTCATGTGTATTATTTATTGCACACTGTTGTTCCCCATTTCCTTTTTCTTATTTCTGCTGGTCTGGTCCAGTTGCTCCTCTTTGGAAGCAGTATGGGCTAGTGATGAAGAGTTCCTGAGCCAACTTGCCTAGATCTGAATCCTGACTTAGTATTTACTCCTTATTTACTTTGTGACTTTGGGTAAATCTTGATCTCAATAAGTTGTTGAGAAAATTAAATGATAAACAAAATGTGAGTTATTATTATTCTATTTTTTCCTGCTAATTGGGAAGCTCTAGAATTACTGTTCTATTCTGCCAGTGGCTGCCTTACCCTTCCCTGTATTCATAACATTCCTATCATTTGAAATAAACTAATTCCACATCTGGAGGCTCTGCTTCTCTCTTCTTCCCCTCCAACTCCATTGAGGGTGTTGGAATGTACTTGCCCCTCACACGCCCTGCCTGCAACTAGCTGGGAACCGGTTATCCTTTCATGCCCGGTGTGTGCCTGAAATAGCCCTGTCACCCGGAATGTCCTTCCCCCAGTTTCCATATGCCCAAGTATTAATGGTGCCTACGTGGCAGGCTTTGAATGCAAATCTAAGTTCCAGTTCTGCTCCACTACCTATGACTGAGTAACTTGGGCAGCATATGCAACCTCTCTGAGCCTCAATTTTCTCACTTGTAAAATCTAGACAAATGTCCACGCCTACCTTAGGGTTTCTGTGAGAATTAAAGAGTTCGCATGTGGAGTGGGCCTTGCAAAGTGGGCTCAAATGTTGCTTCCCTCATCCACCAGGCACAAGTGACCCTCCCCTCTGACCTTCCCCTTCCCAGCATCTATCCTATCAGGTCTTGAGCTTCCTGAGGGCAGGGCTGCCCTGCACCTCCTCCCCTGAAGTACCCAGCATAGGGCCCAGTGCAGAGGGGCTACTCAGGCCCTGCTGTCAGCTAACTCCTGCCCCACCCTTGCTCATGACCTCGGGCGGGGCTCACCGTGGGCTGATTGTAGTGCTCCAGGGACATGGTGACCACGTTGAGGCAGATGATGAAGGTGATAAAGATGTCCAGGTAGTGGCTGGTGCACATGGAGTGGATGAGCAGCCGGGTGGGACAATAGGTGGCATAGTAGGGCAGCCTCTGGGCCTCTGCAGGGGGCATGGGGGAGGGCGCAGACCGCAGGGGGTTGGAGCCATGGGGAGGAGGGACACAAAGGAAGCAGAGGTGGAGGGGAGGGAGGAAGCAAGGGGGAAGATGTCGGTGCACCCCAGGCCCTAGAATCCGCGTCGGGTCTCCTCCACCCAGCCAGGGCACCATGAGCGAAATGAGCGAGGCATGGGGGTGGGTGGCAAAGCGGGCGGGACACTGATTCTCCTTTGCCCTCCGCCTGGACTGAACCCCCTGGGCCCCACTCAAGTTGGCAGTGGCATCGCCCACTGGACTCTGGTGGACACTGATGGGCTCAGGTCACCTGGACAGGCAGACACGGGAGAAAAAGCTGGACCATGGGTACAGGAGTTGCATCCTTTGCTTCCTTCCAGCTCCAAAGGCCCAGGAGGCTGGGGCAGACCCAGGCCTCGGGCCAGCAGCAGCAGACAGAGGGCCTAGAGCCGGGTGGCCCCACGCCCCCGCAGGTGCCCAGTCCACTCACTCCGGCGCTTCTTCTCCAGGCGCCGCAGCCGCTTCTCCTCGCGCCGCCGGGCCTCCTCGGCCTCCTGGTGCTGCCGGCACTTGTGGAAGTTCTCCACGACGACGCCCACAAACATGTTGAGCACGAAAAAGCTGACGATGAGCAGGAAGGAGATGAAGTACAGCAGCATCCAGGGGTTGTGGTTGGTCACGGGCTGCAGGGGAGCCAGAGGGGGCTGAGGAGGCCGATCAGGCCCTGCAGGGCCACGGGCAGGCGCCCAACCTGGCTGAGCCTCCATAGAGTGGACAGAGTATGACAGAGCCTGCCTCCGAGGCGGCTGTGAAGTCTGAACGAGGCAGCAGGTAGGAAGTGCCCACCCAGAGCCTGGCACAGTGAGGTGCTAAGCACAGAGAACCCCTTTCCTTCCCTGCTCGGCTGCTGCTCCTGGACACACATCCGTCTTCTTCCTCTAATTCACCTTATCCATTCACTCACCTACACATGCATCCACGCATCCACCTATCCATTCACCCATCCACCGATCTCTTCCACCCATTCACTTATTCATCTACCCAAGTATCATCCATCCTTTCCCCCATCTACGTACTCATCCATGTGATTCATCCACTTGTTTATTCATTCATGCACCATCCTTCTATCTATCCTTCCCTCCCTCCTCGCCTGCCTTCCTCCCATCCACGTATTCATCCATCTGTTTATTCATCTGTTCATCCAGCCACTTGTCCATCCACCATTCATCCATCCATGCACCCACCCACTCACCCATCCACCCATCCATTCATTCATTCACCCAGAAACAAGAAAGCCAGCAGAGGGTAAAGCACAGCCCTGGAGAAGTCCAAATACACATGTACGCATGGAAGGGCAGGGGTGGGGGAACAGAACAGGCAAGGAAGTAGAGGAAGATGCCTCCAAGTGTTCTCATTCCCCTTGCACCGCACCCCCACCTCCCGCTCCAGAATCTTACCATAAGGCCAAGAGCCAGAGGCCCAGTACCCACAGCCCCGCCTCTTCCACTGAGTGGACCCTGCCCTGACCCAGAGAATCTCCTTGCTCTTCTTCCAGCGACGACCTCAGTCTGCACACAGCCAACTCTGGTTGGTGAGTGTCTTGTCTAAAGTCGCTGCCCAGCCCCAGAGGGAGCCCCTGCTCCCAGAGGGGTCTTGGGAGCCAAGGCTCAGCTTCCTCCCTGACCCCCTAGCCTGATCCACCTCCTTAAATCTCTCCCCACCCAGCAGCCTGCAGGAAGCTGCACTGACAAGCAGACCAGACAAGCAGGCGTGCCAATCTTGCTCTAAGCCCTTCACTGGCTCCCTGTGCCCTCAGAATAAACTCCTGCCCCTTACCACGGCACACACGGGGCCTTGCAGGCCATCCAGGCCCAGTGGCCTCCTCCCCACTCTTCCAGCCGCTCTCACTTTCCACTTCTGGTCCCCGACTCACAACGCCCTGACATGCCATTCTCTTGCCTCAGGTCTGTGTCTGCTGTCCCTCTGCCCGCTGGTTCAGCCCCTCTCCTCCTCCTGCACTCGTTCTCCAACCCCCAGTCTCTGCACTGCCCCCCTCACCAGGAGCAGCTCAGACATCTCTTTCGCAGAGCAGATTTGCAGAAGCAAATGGAATGATGCTTTATTCTGCCCAAGGAGTGCTCTGATGGTGAGGATCCAAGCCAGGACTTAAGGGTGGGCTCTGCTGACAGTGGGGAGACACTGGGGCTTTGGGTCTCACTGGTGCCCGTTTCAGACCACGGGGGCCCCAAGGACACTGTGTCCCTCCTCCCATCTGGGCCTGGCTTGGCCCAGCCACGCCCACCTGCTGGTCCACAGCAACAGCATCCAGTCCGTTGTACATGATGTTCACCCAGCCATCCTTGGATGCCAGGACAAAGAGGGACATCAGAGCCTGGGAGACATGGGGCGGGGAGAGAGCAGGGATGAGGTGGGTGGGTAGCTCAGGCCTCACCACCCCTCCTCAGCTTTCTACTTTTCTGCAGAGACGGGAGGGGGACACAGGCCTGGATGTTGCTCCCTGCCATGTGGCCTGAGGCAAGACATGCCTGTATCTGGACATACCCAACTGCCTGAGTGGGCCCTCAAGAAATGAGAGCAGTACTGAAGGGCGTAAGGAGTGGCGGGGAATGTAGAGAAGGTGGCCAAGGAACTTAGATTTCAGCAGAGCTACAACCCAGGTCCCACCTCTCAGCTCTCACCTGCCACACACCCAGTTGGGGCAAGCCTGGCAGGCCCCCAGGAGAGGAGACCAAGGGCAAGGTGGAAACTGGGCAGGGCTGTGAGTGATGGGAGAGGGAGTCCATCCTGGGCCAGGGGCTTGATATACTTTCATCTCTACCACAGCCTGCCTGGTGGGCTGTAACATTCCCATTTCACAGATGAAATGGAAAGCTGAGAAATGGGACACTTGAGCCTCAGAGAGGTCATACTCACAGTAGACAGCAGAACTGGGATTCACACCCAGGTCTGGTGGACTCTAAAATTCCAGTCAGGGTCCCCTAGGTGGGGGCCGGGGGCCCGGAACCAATGTTCACTGAAGCACCTACTGTGTGCCAGGCATTTTCTGGGCCCTCTGCACACAGGATCTGTAAGCCTCAGGCCCCCTGTGAGGTGGGTGCTGACCCTACCCATTTTGCAGAAGAGGAAACTGATGCTTGAAGAAGTCACAGCATCAGTCCTGGCAGTGTAGGACGGGAGTCAGATCTGTGATCCCAGGGCCATCCTGTCACCCTACCCTGCAGGGGAAGGGTGGGGGGTGGTGACAGCACTCACCTGGCCCAGGTTGTCAAAGTTGTATTTGTGATGGACCCAGCGGTAGTTGGCAGCCATGCAGTCGGAGCGATTGGTGATGTTGCGGGTGTCCATGCCCAGACAATGGTAGAACTTGCCCTTGAAGAGCTAGAGAAAGCAAGGCAAGGTTGGTGTTCCCAAGAGTGGAGGCACAAGTCAGAGAGGAATCCGCCTCTCAGTTGCAATTACCCAGCCTGCCTTGTGCTCAGTCAGTTGGGCCCCCATCTGTCTCTCTTCCTGAACAGGGAACTTGCCGTTAGCAAGGCCCACGGCTGCTCCAACAGGGCCACCTGAGTCCCCACATCAGCCAGCATGGGGTAGGGGGCGGGCTGGGATGTGGAGTGTCTCTGGCCCACCCCAGTCCCTGCCAGCCTGGGTGCCCTCACCTGCACTCCCAGAATGCCAAAGATGATGAAGAACGCACAGCAGATGAGGACGATGTTACCGATGGGCTTGAGGGAGGAGATGAGGGTCTCCACCACCAGCTTCAGGCCAGGTGCCCGGCTTATGACACTGCGGGCAGGGAGAGGCCAGGCACACTATGAGCCCGTGACCAGGCAGGGCGGCAGCTCCCACTCAGCCCAGAGCCACCAGGGCTGAGCCCTCAAGGGCACGAGTGCCTAGAGTCACCAGGGCTGGGCCCCAAGGGCATGACTCATGCCCTGAAGGGCGTAAGGAGTGGCGGGGAATGTAGAGAAGGTGGCCGGGGAACCTAGATTTCAGCAGAGCTGCAACCCAGGTCCCAGATCTAGAAATACAGCAAGGCACTCTGCCTCATCCTTCACAATACCTAGTCCCCTCGGGGCGCACACCACATCCTGGTCTAGGGACTGACTCCCAGAGATGCCAGGGCGCCACCCAAGGACAGAAAGTGGGTAGCAGTACTGGGGCCACCTTAGGCTCTGCCCTTCTAGAATGCCCCAGCCCCAGGGTCTGCAAGCTCCTCCCCTAGGACCAAAGCTGCCGTGTTTGGCTATTGAAGGACTGAGTGGGTCCCAGTGGCTTCCAAGCGAGATCCTCCAATTCGATGGGGAGGAGTCCGCTCACCGCAAGGGGCGCAGCGTTCGCAGGAGCCGCAAGACTCGGAGGACCCCCAGGATCTTGGCTCCCCCGGCCGAGGCCACGGACACCACGATGTCGATGATCGACACGAAGACCAGGAAGCCGTCCAGCACATTCCAGCTGCTGCGCAGGTACGCCTGCTCGCCGAAGTACAGGCCCAGCGAGACCACCTGGGGGTGGGGCCGAGGTCAGGCCAGCCGCGGGAGGAGGCCGGGGAAGGTGGGCGGGGCCAGCCAGAATCCGCGACACGGGGCGGGACGGGTGAGGTGGGGCTGGCCACAGCGAGGGGGCGGGGCGCGGTCAGCGCCCAAAGGGCCGCCCCTTAGGTTCTCCCAGCACACCTGCCAAACCCAATTCAAAGCTACCCGCTATGGGCAGCACCCCAGGCGGAATCTTTCCCCTGCGCCCCGCGCCTCCAGCAGGGACCTCCATGACACGGTCAGTTTGTCCTGCACTCGCCTTTCTGGCGGGGCTGTAACTCCTGGGAGCGGGGATGCGGCCCACCCCCTCTAGGTCCCTGGGCCGGCACCCCCTCTGGGTCCCGGGGTGGGCCTCGGGGCCATGTGTGCAATATCGCTGATTGGCAGGCAAGTGACAAGCTAAGGGAGGGGCTGGGCCAGGGCCAGGGTTCCCAGGGGAGGCGACGGTTCCAGGTGAAGCCGGGCGCTACCTTCAGTGTCATCTCGCCCACGAAGATGGCTGTGAAGATGTAGTTGGACACGGTGAGAAAGATGCGTTCCTGAAAGAGCCGGGCGAGGCTGTGGGCCCAAGGGCTCCCGACACTGCCCAGACCCTGGTCAGCCTCTGCTCGGCCAAGGGACATCCAGGAAGGGCTGCCAGCTCTCCCTACACACCCCCTCGGTGCTCGGGGTCTGGTCTCGCTGGGCCCTCCCTCCTCCCCGGGCCCCGTGTGCCGGCCATGGCAGGCCCAGGTGTCCTGTCCCTCTGCCTGGCCCCAGTCCTGCCCAAGGGCTGTAGCCACTCACGGTGCTGCCGGCCTCGATCTGTGGCCGCTCCAGGGCAATGGTGATGCAGCTGAGGAAGATGAAGGCCAGGACGACATAGTCGAAGAGCTTGTGGGCAATGACGGACTGACACAGGACCCGGAACCTGGGCAGGGGTGGGCGGGGGCCGCGGGAGTGTCAGTTTGCCTCCCACCCTGGCCAGGAGGAAGGCAGAGGGCCCGGCCAAGAGTGCAGACCAGGTCAGCTTAGAGGAAGTGACCACTCTCTTCTCCTCTGGCCACACAACAGACGCCCACTCTACATCTGCTCTGGGTGCCCACCTGGCATGGCCTTCTCTGACCTCACACCCATGAGATGAGGGGCGCCCAGCTTGCCCTGGCACTCAATACTTTTCAAACACTGGCCCAAATCCCCCACCCCTGTCAAGAGAACCGCATCGCCTGGTGCCCTCTGCTTCTGCCCTCAGGCTACTCCCTCCATTGGACCAGCCTCCTCCTCTTCACAGCCCCTGTTGCCCCTGCTAGAATGCTCTCTTCCTCCACAGCCTAGCCCACGGGCCTCCTCCCCCAGGAAGCCTTCTGTTGCCCTGCTCCAGATGTAAACCCTGCAGACCACCTGATCCAGTACAGGGATGGTCTAGACCAGAGATGCCCACAAACATCTGGACCCTTCCCCTCCCTCACCTGCAGACGTCTCTACCTGTAGGCCGGGGGAGGGTCTTCTGTGGTGTGGCAGAGCACTGCCAATGGCCCTGCCTGGCTTGGCAGAGATCTGTCCCTCCCAGACATGCCACCCCTACTCCAGCCCTCCCCCAAGCCTGGCCCCGCCCACCTGTTCTCGGGAGAGAAGAGGTAGACAGACCAGTCCTCGCGGACCTCGCACCAGTCAGGCTTGTAGACGTCCATCATCTTGCGGACGCGGAAGCACAGTGTCTGCAAGAGGGCGACGGAGCGGGCGAGGGTCAGCACTGCGCCGAGCTGCCCATCTCCGCCCACGCCGCCATGCAGCAAACTGGGGGCGCCGGTGACCTCTGAACCCTCGCCCCGCCCGGGGCAGGCAGAGGGCTCCTCTCCCAGGGGCGGGCCCGGCTTAGCTCCGGCCCCGCCCCGCCGCCTCCTGGCCCC